CTTATGCATGATTATATCTGCAAAGAGGAAATACCTGGTAAGTGAATTAATGATAAAAATATTCTAGATAACAAGCAACTATCTTACACAAGTAAACTCAAACTGGGCCTATTGGCTGGACATACAGAAGTGGAATACAGAGGTGTGGTAAACACATAATAAAACACTTGGATGTACTACAAGAAAATGATGCTTATATAAAGACTAGAGAAAAGAATAATATGCATGCATCTGTCCCCTTGTTTGTATACTAAGTATTGTAGATATTGCTGATTTTTTCTAAAACCTAAACGGGAAATATTTTAACAGATTTAATCAATAAGATAACCTACATCAAAAAAATAGACTCACACAATAAATAAAAAGCAAAAGGCCAATCAATAGGCAACAGTGAAGCTTAACAGCCACTCCAGCAGAAAACTGTCTGAAAAGGCGCTTCACACCCCACTATCTGCACGAGCCACAGCTGCTCACTATTGATTTGTTGCACATAAAGAACATCTATTATCACATGCCAGTGTGAACCTAGCAATTTCTCCACCAAGTAGCCTTCGATGTACAGCTAGCAGTATAGCACAGGAGAGCTGTATGCTTAGCTGATGGTGGCTGAGCCCCACATTCATTCCCTTCTCCTCATCCCATGAGGCCAGTATAAGCAATTCATTCCCAAGTGCCCAGAATCAGTGTGTGCTAAGGATGCACATGCCATGGGTTTTACTTGTGCTTCTCCAGAGCACAGATATAATAACAAGATTCCAGGATTGTGTGCAACTCAAAATAGTTGTCACAAATCTAGTATGTGGTAAGTGTTGCTAAGGAGAGATGTGAGGGGCTGGAGAGATGGCTCAGCGGTTAAGAGCACTGACTGCTCTTGCAGAGGACCTGGGTTCGATTCCCAGCACCCACATTGTGGCTATGAACCTTCTTAACTCCAGCTCCAGGGGACTCCGAAGCCCTCTTCTGACCACCTCAGCATTTCATGACACGGGTGTACTCACATACATGCAGGCAATATACTCATACACATTAAATAAAAATAAAAAATAAAATTTTTAAAAAGGAGAGATGTGAGATGTTTGGAACTGCTATTTTAATGAAGCTTCTAAGCCTGATATCCTTTTTGTATATGTGGATAAGTGGAGAAGAGAGAGATTTTGTGCAATGTGGAGGAGAGATGAAATCAATAGCATTCTTCCAGGGGGAGTGGCATTATCATAAAACATGGAGAAAGATTCTAGATTCACCTAGGAGCATCATGGTGACAGCATGCTGGAAATTTCAAGACTCCTATTTGGATTGAAAATTCCGATAAGAATGTGATAGCCAAAAAGAACGTCTCTACAACAGCCTGCTGTAGTCCACCACAAAGTGGAGAGGGGCTCATAAGCCCTCACCCTCAGCTAAACAGCTATTAACTGCTGGTGGCTTCTTGGGGAGGGAGAGTCAGTTTTCTTTAAGGGGATGGCCCCTGCTGGTCCTACACTCCAGTGGATAGCCCCACATTTATTAGTATGTGAAATATATGGGCAGCATAAACTGGACATAGAGGGCTATAAAAAATAAAAAGGGGGCACAAATTTGGGAGGGATGGGGAATTCATCTGCAAGGTGTTAAGAGAAGCAGTAATGGCGAATATGATTAAAATACATTGGATGCATACATTAAATTCTCAAAATAATAAAAATATATTTAAAAAGAACCTTCTATAAGGTGTCACTTCTCTTCTTGTTTTTAATATGTAGCGCCAAGCACATATACCATCAGCTGGACTTCTGGCGGTACCCATGTACTGAGAAGTCAGCCCCTTAGTTTTGACCTTTTCAGAAGACTATAGATTATCTTCAGGGAATGCTCATCAAATGCCTGTGTGCTTCCATAGATGCTACATCTACTCTAAATTGCTTCTGATATTGTCAAACAGCCCCCATAGCCAAATTAACGACAGGAACTCCCCATGATTTTTACCATTACATAAAATATTGGAAGGTTATATCTTTTAAACTACGTGTGGGAATTAGTAAGTCAACTATACTTGAGTTTTTAGTCAGATGATTTCTTTGTCTATCCCACACAAGGACTCACTCTTACACACAGTAATCATCTCCAGAGGATGTGTCACCTTCAGAATCGTCATATCTTTGCAAAAATGAAATCCACCCCACCACATCCATCAACCCACCACACAAACACAAAAGATGATGGAATAAAGGGAAAATCAACCAGGCTTGTTCTACTCACACTATGAAGTTTTAAATGTACATTGTATCTCCAGAGGCAATGTCTATGTGACTGCATGTCAAAATTGTCAAGCAGAAGTCATATTTGATAAACAGGATGTGAATAAGCAAAGGTCATGAGAACCAATGTTAGAAGAAATAACCAAGACCCTAATGTGCATAGTCTCTTTAGAGTCTTGTACATCACACATGGATGTAATTAACTTTACATATGATGGACTAAATATTTTGGAAAATATAAAACTTAGTCATTTCCCTGGTGAACAAGTTTCTATTCTTAGATATACAGTAATAAATTGACGTTTTCATTCCCACTAATTGAGGATCTATCTGCTTCCCTGAGGCAAGTCTGGTGGAAAATGACAGATTCAAAATCCCCCTTTACCAAATACCTTTTGCCACTGCTTTTTAATCTCTAACCAATTTACATGGTCTTATAATTGCATTCTAAATAATATAATTTATTTTAGATAGATGGAGAGAGAGAGAGAGAGAGAGAGAGAGAGAGAAAGTAAATATTTTACAGAGTATTCCATTTCCAAGAATTAAGCAAAGGCCTGATTTTATTGATGGCATTTCATTTTCAATGTCATGCGTATTTGCATTATTTAGGTCAAGGGCAGGTTACTAGCAGCGTGCAGGCTACACAAGCAATTATTAATGGCCTTTGTGTTCTTCCATATAAACTTCATTCCACATCTTCTCTGTATCCTTTCTTCTTCATCTTCCTTCCTTTCTTATTAACTTATTTCATCCTTTCTCTGCTTTCAATTCCTACCAAACACCATGGTTTTTCTCACGCTAAGCCTGAGTTTCCTTAACTCTGCTAGTGACACTGAAGAATAATATTTAACTTCTCACCCAGACTAAGGTTCAAGAATTTATTAACATAAGGGCACAGAATTAGAAAATAAACTTCATTTAAAAGTTACTTATGAGATGAAACAACAAACTATAATTCTAAGGGCCAACTTCAATATAGCAAACAATAGTTTATAACCTGAAGTAGCAAGACTAATTCTAGGTAGAGCAAACTGGCTCTGATATTAATCCCAAAAGAGGTTTCCTCACATAATTCAAATGTTAATCTTTGGATACTGTAATAATTTTAAGCAACTTTCCATTTCAATACAGTTGGGTATTTTAACATTTATATTCAAACATCAGTCCTATATACTTGAATTCTAGATACCTATCTCATTCTGTAATTCAGATGCACGTGCCTTCCTTACACATTGCCACCAAGGAAGAGAAGCTCAGGTACACTCTCCTGAAGATGAAGAAGAAGATGAGTCAAGGAGAATCTAAGTGTGGTTTGGGATCTTAGGTCTTCTATGAACAAAAGACTCATAGAATCATTGAAAGAATAATATCCAAATCATATTTCCCTGAGTAGGCCTGCCTAAAAGCTAGTGCCACAAAGAAGGGCTAACATTTTCCCATTCCTGGTCCAAGTACTTCGTTATATTTAAACACATTGATCAAGTTAGATAACATTATTTTCCACACTCTCGAATGAGAAACAATCTTCCCAGCAGATAATCAGAAGCAATCACAGAAACCCAGGAAGAGTCATGGCTAAACCTGAGCAGAAAACACTTGAACTTGTGTGACAAAGAAAAACTTATCAATGATAGAAAATACATACATACCTTCTGAAGACTGTACATGTTGACTGCATTTAGAAGAACTTACCTTTCTGTCTTTTCTCTGTTCAGAGTGTCTTCCTGAACATGTTTTTACCTGCTGTGGGATGTGTGTGTGTGTGATGGGGATGAGCTTGGGAGAATAAAGAAGCATTATGCCCGTAGTGAGAGGAACAAATGTTTCCTGGGGAATCCTCTGTAGACAAATTTGAGGGAAAAGAAAGAGCAGATAGCACAATTCCCCAAGTAACCAGGACTGGGCCATAACTGCCTTTTTCAGAGTAGAACATTGTTTCTATATCATAAACATGGAAAGAGGATTCTCAGTAATGCCAAAGTACTCAGAGGAATGTGATACCAAGCCCTTCTGCAAATGTCCTGTCATTAGCATGATAGATATACAGTTACATGCTTATATTTACATAAATAAGTACCATATAAATTTTCTCTAGATTTCCAGATTCCCCATTTTTTTCCTTTAATGTACCTTAAGACAAAGGAAAAATAGGAATTACAGAGCTTCTGAAAAAAAAAATGGAAATGGAAACAGCAAGGGACACCTATGCACATGATAAAAGTTGGTAAATAAGGAATCAAGTGAAACCAAACAGACATGAGGGATATGGGCCCTGCACAATATGACTTTACTATTTAATCGATTACCTTCATGTGCCTTTTTATAAAATCAAACACTCCAATGAGTTGAGACTGTGAAACCAAAATCTACCATGAAGGCTGTGTTTAGAAAATCAGATAATCAGGAAAGCTGTTAGGTTCTTTTAATGAGCCTCAAATGTTTACTTGCCTTTAAAATGGCCATGTTAGGAAAATTATACCAGAAGGAGGTAGAGAAAGGTTACAGAGACTCACAATATTAAAGCATCTCTACCACTAGCATTAGAATCACCTTCATGAAATTAGTTTTCTTAGACTAAGTCAATCCATTAACCAGACGCATCACTAGTGAATAAAAATAGCAATACAAAATGTGATACATATATATATATATGAGACAATGACTTCTGAATCTTTCAAAGGAGCATCCTTTCCTATATTTCCCCTTAAGATTTTCCTGAACCTCTTGAAAATACCTCCAGTATGAAGAGAGTGTACTTACGGTCATTGCACTGGTTTCCAGAATATGATGTCATAGAACAGTCACAGGTGAAGCCCTCCCACTGCTGCATGCAAACGCCCTGGTTGGCACAGGAATCCTCCTGACAGGTGGTACTGGGTCCTGGTAGTGCACAAAAGGAGAGAGGGTGGGATGAGGCAGAGAAATAGAAGAAACATTAAAACTTAGTCAACTTCAAAGAAATCACCTGGATTTACTACCATCATGCCCCCCAAAAATTCAGAAACACAATCACCAAAAATGTCAACTCCATCGCATGCAACAGAATTCAGTATGCACAATAGATGACAGAAATACACACTTAGCCACAAACCATTAACAATTACACAGAGAAGGGAGAGGGCTGAACACATTGTTCTTTAAGGGAGACTTTGCAGAAGAGCTTCATGTTCTATCATTCAACCAGAAAGATAATTCATTTGGAGCAGGTCTTTGTGGTGAATAACGTAGAAAAATGTATCCTTGTGATTTTAAAGAAATGAAGCACAATGTTTTATTCTGAAACTAAAAGTCCTTAAGTGTACTTTGTGATATCAGAATGTTTCATAAGGAGGAAAAGGAAGAGGAGAAGAAAGGGGAGGAGGAGAGGAGGAGGAGGAGGAGGAACAATACATAACTATGTATTCTATAGATAATAAACACTGAATGCTAAGTGATTTATACAAATTACATTAGCTCCCCAGAAGTTCAACCAGGTAATTGGAATAACCTCCACTTCAAAGATTTTAAAAACTGAGCTTGAAGAGGTAAACTAATCTACTCAGGCCACACATTTCCTCAAGAATGCTGATGCCTACCTCAGTGAGATCAACACAGACTGCTCTTAACTTCCCCAGGGTTCCCAGAATGACATCTTGAGAGCAGAATCACCTGGGCATTGTTAGAAATGCAAATTCTTGGGCCCTACCCTTAACCTGCTAGACTGGAAATTTAGGGGAAGACAGAAGTCTATTCTCACAAGCTTCAGAAATTCCAATGTATCCTAAAGTTTGAGAACCACTATACTACCCCACACTGCTACTAAGGTATCTTGGGAGGGTGTTTTCTGATGGGGTGGGCATACCAGAAGATGGAAAGCAGAATTATTTGGGTATAAGGAGAAGGATGAGATGCTGTGCTATTTTTCTTTTCATTATTATCTATAATTTCATGTCTCTTTCACATAGTTTATAAACAAGTGTTAGAAACATTCTAAGAATCATTTTTCTCAAAGGAAAAGAAGATTAAAACAAAGTTTTACAATCTCAGCCTTACAGATTGTCATTAAAGTTGTTCTTTTGGTCAGTCTGGAAACACTCTTGAATCCATCCTCTGTTTTTCCCTAATTTATGTTTTACCCTTTGAGTTAAATAATAAATAAATAAACCTGCAACTTCAGAAAGGTGTGTGCTGATAAGAAATATTTTAATATTCAGGATCATTTCAGATTTTCAGGAATCCTCAGCAGAGGATGTGGACCCTTTGGCTCAGCAAATGTAGGAACTAATGCATAAAAGTAGCTGTCAGCTGAAATAAAAATATATCTATTGCAATCGCTGAATATTTTGCATTTTCCAAGCTAAGCCTCACATAGGTACAGAATACTAAATGTAAGTATGCAGGATCTTAAGGAAACATGGTCAGTAAGAGATAAAGGACTGCAAAGGGTTGACCTTCTAGGTAGCAAGGGATTTTGCATTTATTCCTGAGGGGTGGAAGCGGTACAGGCCACCTCTCATGAGACAAAGCTATTAAGATACGACAGAAGAAAGTTCTAGACAATTACTAGTGCCGGGGAACAGCACCACTGCTGTTTGTCTCATGAGACAAAGCTATTAAGATACACAGAAGAAAGTTCTAGACAATTACTAGTGCCGGGGAACAGCACCACTGCTGAGTTTCTGTAGCTCCTATTTGCCATGTGGTTCCCCCATGCAGAGATGGAAGGAGGAACATGGCCATGTTCTCAGTGGGTTTTAAACTTAAGTATTGTGTCATGCAAGTTTCATTAACAATGGCAAATCAGGGCAGCTTCTTTCAAAGGATAAAAGCTTCTGAGAAGTCCACAGGGCTCCCTAACCAAACAGCTCTCACCTGACAATGGTCTACTAATTCAACCTTGTTCAAGAATCAGAAACACAAGGAAGGCTTCCCCTTGAAAGGTAAAAAGTTTGGGAAAACACAGTAATTCTTTCCATGGTTACTGAATCTAGAGACAAAGGCTTTTCCATGCCTTTTACTCCCCTCTAAGTGTCAAATTTTAAACATTTTCTAAGGACCAGTCTGCGTATCTCAGATGATATATTCCCCCTTAACTAGAAGTATGTTTTTTCCCTTTCTTAATGGCTATGATAATGTTCAACTTAGTAATTTATTACACATTACACAATCCTCTGCTTATATAATTCCCTAATCTGTTTTTTTCATTATTTACTTATTATATTTCTTTGTTACCAAGAAAACTGAACGCTACTTGCTTTTAGAAACCATGTTATATGTTTTGAGTGGGTCCTTTCTGCACTAAGACTACTGTGCACATTGGACAACATGTTTCAGTAACGCTGAGCTGATTTGAACTGTAGGACCCCTAGATTTCCTTTGTATCATTCTTCCCAATCCTGAGTGTAAGGGCACCCCTTTGCTTTGCAAAGTGAACAGGGCTAAGTCTTTCCCCTCCATTAAAGTTTGATCAGGAATTAAGGACAGAAGGAGCTCCGGAGAGAGAAACGATAGGACATGGTTATTAGGAAGGGGGAAAGGGGAGAAACGGGGAAGGAGACTTAAATCAGGAAGGGGTGGGAGAGAGGGAGAGGAAAGGGGGAGAGATGAATAACAATGGGTTTGTCTGAAAAAACCATAAGAAAGCACATTGTTTGATAAGCTTTCTTGACATATGTTTTTAATATGTATTAGTTTAAATAAATTATGCCATACAAGGTGATAATGTTCCCTCCGTGAACTATAGACTAACAAAACCCACAGCAGCAGGCAAGGAATACCTCCCTTTAAATTATTAGTTGGAGGGCCCAAGAGACCCCCAAAACAAATTAGGCTATGGCCTTTGCCTTTGGTTGCCCCAAAGAACTTAAAGGTAAGGCCCTATTGCAGATTACATACCACACTTGGGCATAGGACTTGCAGGAATCAAGCTGGTGGTACTGATTTAGAGGTTTCTCCACAGAGGAATAATTGGAGTATCAAAAAGTGCTATGCAAGCTACATGGGAGAAAAGGAAATAATAGTCCTACCCAGCTATAGAGCCTTGCACCGCAACAGTGACTAGCCTGGAAAGATACTCCCAATGGTGCAAACAGTGGCACTTTGATCTTAAAGGTAACCAACAGCTGTCTACTTGAACTTAAGACTCTCTCTTTGGGAATGAATTTGTGTCTGATGCTGTAAACCTAGCCAACTACCCATGGCTGGAGAGGTCATAGACCCTAAAGGAGAACCTACTAGTGCCATTTTCCTAAACTAATATAGTTTCTAACTGTATTTTAAACATGTATCTTTATAACCACAGATAAGTGAAGTTCTCACTACTCATCAAAGATGTTTCTTTTTACAGCAGAGATTACTACAGAGATTCACAATTGGTCAAAATGAAGATAATAAGTAACCATGCAGTGCCCAGCCCCAATTGGTACATCTGCAACACAACACAATGCCTAAAGCTCAGGGAACATTGAAGAACGTAAGTGGTAAGGCAGGAAGCACTGGAAGAACAGGATGTCTGCTGCTACATAGAATCTTCTAGGCATGACAAGGATACTGCACCCATGAAATCACAAATATATAGTTGCCTGCACAATGTGGTACTTTGAGGGAGAAAGAATTCTCCAGGGATAAACCCCCTGTGATAGGTTGCCAATCCCAAGTGGTTAGTCCGAAACCAGCAACAGTAAATAGCCTCAGTAGGTTAAATATGCTGCTGCTTGTATAGACTCTTCTATCTGTAGGTATGTATGTTATATATGTAGCAACAGAAGACGAGGTCATGATGCTGAGAGGTGTAGAGGGAGGGTGGGAATGAGGTCAATAAGTACACTTATGTATGAAATCTCAAAAAGTAGGTTTTTTTTTTTTCAGGAATCAAGTACAGAAGGAATTATAGACTATTTTGAA